ACGATTGCCTGGGTTAAAGCAGGGGTCGCCAAACTTTTTTAACCGTCGACCCCCAACCACTTTCCAAAGCCTCACATTGACCCCCACCGTAAAGTTTTATTATAAGTGTAAGCTACATTTCTGTTGCAAATGTGCAGCAAGTATTAGAGATTTCTTTTAATTGCAGGTCAGAATTTAATGCCAGATTTCTTCTTGAGTGATAGTGATTTGGAATCATTTGGTCCTATTGATAACATGAAAATTTCGGAGTTACAAGGTTCTGCAAAGGAAGAAACAGCTGAAGCAAGTGAGATAAGAACAGTTTTTAGCAAAATAAAAAATTTAACAAATGAAGAATTGGTCAAACAGACTAATGGAGTCTTTCAGTTTATAGTTAAAGGTAGATAAAATTTTATTAATTAAAAAAAATGTATTTATGAAATTTTAATTGTTTTTGTTTTTTAGATAAAGATGAGATTAGTTGGTACATTGATTTAAAGAATGGAAATGGTGACGTGGGTCAAGGCGATCCGCCGGGAAGTAAAGCAGATGTTACATTCATGACAGATTCTAAAAATTTTTTGAAAATGTTTAGTGGTTCTCTGAAACCCACATCAGCTTTTATGGCAGGCAGCCTTCGTATCAAAGGCAACATGGCACTGGCCATGAAATTAGACAAGTTGCTAGCTCAGATGAAATCTAAATTGTAATTAATATGCCTGTCTTTACTTGAATATAATACAAATATTTTTTTATTATTTTTAACAAAAAAGTTAAATTTTTATAAAGATTTTGAATCCTACAAGTTTTTAATGAAAGAATTTATATCATATGCAACTATCAGTTTGGCATTATTTCTAAATGAATATTAACTCAAAACTAAAACTAACTTTTAAAATTAAGTTGTAATTTCGAAAAAATTGTTATTTTATATAAATGTGTTGTTATCATTTAAATGTTTTTACTTTTAACAAAATGAATAAAATTGTTTTGTAAAAAGATGGACTTCACACAAATATAAAAGTAACTCGGCCAGATGTTTTCATATTTACACTATGAACTCATCCTTAAGTCAATTTATTTGACTTACAATAAAAACTAAGTAAATAAATTATGTTCTGGCTTCATTAAATATTGGTAAAGACAGATCTGGTATTACTTTTATATATTATTTGGTGAAAAGCCAATATTTTTGTTTTTTGATTATGACTTTGTATTTTAAATAAAAAAAAAGTTTAATAAA